GGAGGTCCTTTAAAAAATCATCATGGTGACGCGAGGACAAATCCATTCGCCAAATTCTCATTACTTTCGAGAAACTTTCACCAAATTCGCCAAAAACCCCGTAACCCCCCTTTACCAACCTCCGTTCTCACTATGATAACCTTGCTCAACCCCAAAATGCGACCCCCTATCCGAAATCACAAACGCGACCCCCTCGTTCGAATCGTGCAAAAGGACGGTTGATCATTTGGCCTGCGGAGGCCAGGCGGTTCACTAAGAGAGTGAGCAGTGATGTGACCACCAAAAACAGGACCACAATTCCCCACCCAACATCCAGCCATATTAGTTCGCTTATCAGGTTTACATCAAATCTCTATACAAGTTAGCGAAGAGTACGTACATAAAACAAGACGATGCCTAAGAAAGAGGGAAGTACCTTAATACCATTACACGTTGCAGCTCCATCTTATTCGCGATTGTTGGAGCGAAAAGCCGGCAGACCGACCAAATGGCGACACTCTGTGCAAGATATTGACGGTAAGAGAGTTGAATTAGTATCCACACGACCCACTGTGGTAGCACGCAATGTTCATGGGAAAAATGCGTTCTTTTTAGACGATGATGCCGGATAAGAAAAGCAATTTGATGGACCACATGTTCAATATGTTAGGAAGACTACACAACCACGCTTGAACTTGGATGTTGAGGAGAGAACAAAGCAGCTGCAGGAGGAAAAAAAGAAAGCCGATATTCTTCTGGGAAGGATGTTACCTAGGTATGAAGAAGATTCTATGCATTTATTGATTGGCTTTGGGAAAGTTACAAGTGGTTTTTGGTTGATGCGGCAACGCCCTCTTATACAAATTCTCACTACACCCCCTTAATTCCTATCCATTTGGAAATTTGCAGGCAAGTAGCGGATCGTTTGAAAATGGGACAGACAGTCGAACCAGAAAGTTTTGAAAGCGTCACGGTGTTCTTCTCCGATGTTGTCAAGTTCACTCAGTTAGCTGCAAAATGTACAGCTTTTCAAGTACGTTATTAGATTAGTGTTAGTTTTGTTAGAGCCTTAAATTTGCGTATTCCTGATTTTCATTGCAGATTGTAAATCTACTCAACGATCTGTACAATGGATTCGACACGATCATAGAAGAGCATTCCGTATACAAGGTAATTGTTATCGTTGAGTAAAGTCATCGTGCATCGAAAATGCATGAGCTGTCTCCCCGAAGTTTGGCCATCTGGCATTTGTGCCTTATGAAAACCACAAAAAAGCGAATCGGCCGAGTGATCAATTCGAAAGTCCAACTCAAAATCTAAAAGACCAATTATCCACAGCCGAATTCTCATTAAGGCTTTCTGAAAGCTCGTACTTCTACAGTTATCAGCATCAATACGCAAATCAACGGGCAGGGAGGATGTCTCATTTCTAGGGTTGTAGGCCATTTTTCTCGGTTTGTTCTCTTCCGTGCATCACTGACTATTTCCAAGATTTCTAATGGGCTGCCCTCCATCGTGAAATCCCCCTTGAAATGTGAACGCGTGTCACTGATGCTACTTTAAAGGCAAACCCCGGGATTAGCCCGACTAGTAGGAGGGATTCCACGGGGGAAATTGTAAGGTCCGTACGTACCTAGATCACTCCAGCTTCGTCGCAAAAACTGCGCGGTTAGGGCGCTAATCCTTACGGGCCTGCAACCATCGACCCCGTTCCAACACATCCCACCCGCAGCGAGAGGTGGTGAGATCAGCGTACATTGATGAA